GTAGGTAAGGCTAACTTGATACCCCAGTAGGCTATGATTCTGTTCCATAGTACCCAGGAAAACTGGCAGGAAATAAACAGATGCTGAACTGATTCCTCTGCTTGATTGCAAAAGGGGCATTAAGAGTCCTCCCCTAAGGGAACCCCCCTTTTCTTCAATTCCCCTCTAACCGCTACTTTATTAAGTGATACTTGCCAAAGGAAAACCTCTACTCTAGGAGGAACCAGACCTTGCCAAACACATTTGTTCCACCTAAAGTTATCCTCGTCCACTGAGTAGAAAGATTTCGTGCAAGCTTTAACGGAATACAAACCCTCACCCGCACCAACCCAAAGCATACAATCCTCCAAAGATTCATTTAATTTGATAACATTGAGCTTGTCCAATAGATCAACCAGCTGAGCCACTTCCCAATCGCATGGATTCCTCCTAGTCTTAATATTCCACTCCCAACCATTCAAATCAAAACTACCAAATTCAGCAACCTTACCCCCTTGATTTGTTGACAGAGCAAAAATCCTAGGGAAAAGAACTTTCAATGGAAAATCCCCCAACCATGTATCATTCCAAAAGAAAATCGAATTGTCATTCCTAACTTGTAACCTCGCATGAGATCTAATGCATCCTCCAAAGAAATCATCCTTCATGTAGCTATTCACAATACCTCTCCAAATCCAAGAGTCCTTGTGGGAGGAGACTTTATTGACATCCATAAAAAGACAACTAACACTATGTTTAGAACATAAGAACTTTTTCCACAAAGATTCTTTTTCGTTGGCAAACTTCCACACCCACTTTCCCAATAGTGTTCTATTAATAAGCTTCAAATCAACAACTCCTAGACCACCTCCACACTTCGGTTTACAAATCTTAATCCAACTCACCCAATGCATTTTCTTCTTTTCTTCTCCTCCACCCCATAAAAAATTCGCCATCAAAGAGTTTAATTTTTGACAGATTTTAGCTGGAATCTTGAAAATAGAGAGATAAAAGATAGGTAAAGAGGATAAAACCGACTTAATAAGCACCAATCTACCGTCCATAGACAAAGAAGAAGCTTTCCATCCCGCCAATTTCTTATCAAAGTTAGCTAGGACTGGCTCCCACAGTTTCTCACAGTTTCTTTTAGCCCCTAACGGAAGGCCTAAATAAACTGTCGGAAAGGAACCAATAGAGCAGCCAATGTCCATAGCCCAATTTCTTAGTGTGTCCTCCACATTAATACCATACAATTTACTCTTAACTAAATTAAGATGAAGCCCCGTCATAAAACTAAAAATCATCAACACTCGTCTAACGTTTTTAATTTGAGTGATGGAGGCTCGACAAAAAATAATTAAGTCATCCGCAAACTGAAGATGGGTCAAATTGAAACTGTTTTGCACATTTCCAAAAGAAAACCCTTGAAATAATCCTAATTCCACAGCTTTATTTAACATCATATGAAGGAGTTCACCAACCACATTAAACAAAAGAGGAGAAAGACTACATCCTTGTCGCAAACCTTTAGCAATATGAAACTCTTTTGTAGGAGACCCATTCAGTAGAATAGATATAGAAGCTGTAGAAATACACTGATTTATCCAAGAACACCACCTTTCTCCGAAGCCCATCTCCTTCATAAGCCTTAACAGAATCTGCCAATCCACGGTGTCATAAGCTCTGCTAAAATCCACTTTGAAAACAACCCCCTGCAGCCCTTGTTTCCTCCAATAATCGATGCCTTCATTTGCTAAATAGGCACAATCCAACAATTGCCTCCCCGGAATAAACGCGAACTGTGTAGGGCTAACAATATCTTTAACACAAGAAGAAAGTCTTTTTGAAAGAACCTTAGAGAGAATCTTATACAAGCTGCCCACTAGACTAATAGGTCTATAATCTTCAATACTCTCAGAATTACCTTTCTTTGGAATCAAGGTAATAAAAGCATGATTCACCCCATGAACCCACTTCTTTCCATTGTAAAAATCTGAAAAAAACTCCATAATCTTCACCTTTAACAAATTCCAATACTTCTTGTAAAAACCCATTGTTAAACCATCTGGCCCTGGAGCTTTTGCACTATCAGAAGATGAAATTGCTTGCCACTTCTTGCTCTGTAAACACCTCTTCTAGAGAATCACTTTGAACTTGAGACAACTGTTTAAAATCAAAATTCAAGCCCTCAACTTCCAGTGTAGTTTTTTCATTATATGCATTCTTGAAAAACTTAAACACACTGTTTTTTATCTTTTCTGGATCCGAAATAACTTTGCCTTTAAAATTGATAGAATGAATAGTGTTGAATCTATTCCTTTTCAATGCACTAAGATGAAAAAACCTTGTATTCATGTCGCCATCTTTAATCCATCTGTTTCTAGATTTTTGAAACCAAATTCTCTCCTCGATCCTTAACAGTCTCCATAATTCCTTTTTAGACTCAATCAATTGTGCCCAATCCCCTGCAGACTGCTTTCCACCTTGACACTTTAAATCCAGACTGTTAATTTTAATTTCCAGCAACGAAATTGACTCTGACAGCCCTAAATGTCCACTTCCAGACCAGTTTCTGATTTCATTTTTTGCACCCTGCAAGATTCTGAAAATTCCACCACTATTGTTCTTCTTCTCTTCTACTTCCAGTGAGTCTGCAACTAAATCATCAAAACCTTGTTCTTCTAAAAGAAAATTAAAGAACCTAAAAGGTTTTGGACCCCAATTTGTAGATTTATCCTCCAGCAAGATTGGATTATGGTCTGAAATAGATTTCGGTAAAATCGACTGCACAATGTTAGGGAAAATCTTAAGGAATCTTGCGCAAATAAGGAACCTGTCCAATCTCACCCATGTTGAAGATTCTCTATTACTGCACCAAGTGAAAGAACCTCCTGACATAGGCAAGTTAATAAGATTGGCATTTTGCACGAATGACCTGAAAATATCAATAGTATGCCAATTTTGTGATTTGCCTATCTTTTCTTCTGAATCAAGATACGCGTTGAAGTCTCCCCCTAAACACACTGGTAAATTTAGAGCTCTAACATACTTCAGCAACTCCCTATAAAAAACCTCCTTCTCAGCTTCGACTGTAGGCCCATAAACATTAATAGCTACAAACTCCATAGAACCATGCTTAGATTTTCCTACTAACGCCAGAAACCTACTATGCACAAACTGATCAATGACTTGAACCACGTTCTCATTCCACAATGTAATCAAGCCCCCCGATGACCCCTTTGCTGGAGAAACCAACACCCCTTTAACAAGTTACCTCAAATCCTTCTAAAAATCGCCCCATGGCATCTTTCCAACTTAGATTCTTGAATGAAAAGAAAAACTGGTTTCGTCTTCTTGACTAACCTTGCTGCAGCTACACACTTCTCCCTCCTCCCAAGACCCCTAATGTTCCACGAAATAATACTAAAATTATTCATAAAAAAGAATTACTCCCCCTACACTCAGCTAAAACTGAGCAGCCTTCATCCACCCCTAACTGCATCTGTCTCTTGACCAAGACATAATAATTTATCAATAAAAGCCTCCTTCCCTTCCTTAAATGAAATACCTAACATCTCACATACTTCCCAAGTATCCACTGCTTCCTTCAGTAATTCCACAAAAGAGGAAGAAGAAGCAGCCGAAATATTAACCAAGTCAATAGCTTCAGAAATTAAGGCTCTCCTCTTCCTTCTCTTCCTTCTCTTTTCATTTCCTTTCCCTGAAGCATTCACAGAAATTGCTTCCACCCTTTCAACAATATCATTACAAATGGTAGGGATCGTAGATGTATTCTGAAAATCGGCAGAACCATTGAAGTCCTTATCTTGTCCCTTTCCAATACTTTTCGTAGGAAACTGCTTTATACTTCTAGGAACAGAATTGTTCTGCTTAAGCTTCGGAGAAGCCATGGGAAAGAAGACATCATCTTCAATAGCTAGACACAACCATATTCTTCTATCTCTTGACCTTTTATAAACTCGAGCATAGCGTCCTCTTCCCCTTCTGCCAACAGGAGCACTCCTAATTGACAAACCTAGCATAATATCTTCATCTTCCAGATCCCCATTTTTTCCTTCTTCTATTGATACACTTCTTTCTTCTGCAAAAAATTCAGACAGATTCTGCTCTTTATTCTTGTTTGCTAGCCTAGCCCAATTCAACTTCACAGCAGGGCCAGCTGGAATAATTTTAGTAACAGGAGAATAAGACTCCCAATTAGACTCTGAATGGGCTGAACTCTGGACCGCAACCTCTCTCAGCCCAAGGCCTACAAACTCCCCCTGGGATTTAATTCAAATTCAAACTTGTCTGACACCCCATTACTATTGGGCAGAGTGTCTGACTTATTTTCCAAATCTTGTTCCCCACCTTCTTCTAACGTCCTCCTTTCTTGACTGTTCTGAAGCCACGTGTCAACTTTTGACCAGAAACCTTCTGCAGAGTTCTCCCTGTTGTCTCCTACCTTATCTTTGTTTATACCATCTTCCTCCTTTGACACTTCGTCACTGCAGTTGCCAAATGACAAAATCTGCCTCACGTCTCCATAAGCTTCAGAGAAAGCATTAGAGCTGGATCCCACATTAATTTTAACTTTAAACGATCTGCCATAAGATCCTACAATAACAGATTCTTGTACATCAAACGGACTTGCCACCCTTAGCAGCATTCTAGTCGAAGAGAGGTCATCTCTGTTTCTTGTTTCCTCCGGGATACAAACAACCTTTCCCCACTTTCCTCCAAGCTTCTCTAGAAAAGGAATACTCCAGCTAAGAAGCGGTAACCCAACCAACTCGACCAAGCAATAAGCCAAAGGGACTCCATCTTCACTCAATAATGGATCTACCCAATCAAACCAGCAGTAAAGTTTCTCTCTAAGACTCGACCACGCCTTCAAGAACTCTTCATTTGTATTGAAGATAATAATGCATGCGTTCCTAACGTATCCCCACTTTACTATCTTGACTTGGAACCCCTCTTTTGCCAAAGCTCGCACCACCATAACAGGCTGAAATGTATCTTTAAAAATCTTCTGATGGGATGTGCATATCCCAGACATTTCTTACTCCTTTTGCTTTCTTCTGACCTTCCCTGTTCACCCTTCTTTGTTGATCCACACTCCTACTTTTATCCACATTCACAACCTCCTTATACGTTCTGCCATCTCTCAAACTTCTCGGTGACTCCAAGTCAACCTGCTGTCTACCATTAGCTTCTCTAAATGGCTTAATTCCTTCCAGCTGAGATCTTTTAACCTCTGCATCTCTCTTCCTGCCCCTCTTATACTTAGCCACCCCCACAGTGACTCTCTTCCCATCAATCAACGTTCCATTTACATTCATAACTGCTCTTCTGCAACCTTCCTCCACCGCATATTGCACAAAAGCAAACGTGGATGACTTATAATTCGTTTTAACCATAAAACTTGGGATAAAGACCCTCACTATTCTACCATAATGGTTGAAAATCTCTCTTAACTCACTTCTGGTAACTCTCTTACTAAGATTTCCAACAAAAACAGTCCATTCCTCACCGGAGAATGAACGACCAAACGCACCCGCTCTCTTTCTCTCTCTACTTTTCTCACTCATGGTTAAATGTTTTTATGTCATATCTCCCTATTGTTCATAACTAACATTCCTTTAAGAGCAACGATTCTCCTAAGAACAGTTCTACTACTCACATTAAACACATTATGATCCCACATAGATATGAACCCACTCGAAATACCTTCAGCCGGTGTAAAATCCATTTCATTAAAAATTGAACCCTTTAACCTTCTTTCAACATAAGCAGTAATACCTGAAATTTTTTATTCCTGTAAGAAGACCATATTTGCTTTGTTCGAAACAATAACCCTAGAGATGTCTCTAATTTTTTTGCTTCTACCCAACCCTCTAACATTCCAAGATAATACCGATAAACCCAATTCCATATAATTAAATACGTACAGTTAAAATCAATACAGAAGCAGAATCAGAACAAACCCGAAATCCCGATTGATTCTAATCTCTGAATTACGATCTGTCTCAATCCAGAGAACTCCACCTCCAATGCCTCGCCAATATCTAAGGATGCCTCAGCTTCATTTACTGAACCCAACTTTCTACCCGAGTTTTCCTCGCCAAGGACTCCACATTTACTCAAACCGCTTCTAGAATACTACACACCGACCCTTGCTTTCGAGCACATCTTCTTTCTATTTGCGATTTTGATTTTCGAAGGGGCTTTAACAATTGCCTGATTAACTCTCATCCTTGCTGGGTTAGAGGAGTTATCAATAGGATAATTAACATATTTTATACTGTCATTCGAAAACTTGGAATTTTTTCCAACACGAGTATCAACCAAACAAGCCTCATCAAATCCTTTAATGGAGGACACTTCTTTTATTGGCACATCAAGGAGCCTTGAACAATTTGAAATAGATTGAGATGCCCAATATAGATCCGAGCCTCTATTAATTTCCATCATGCCAATACTCTCATCAGAAGCTTGAAAGATTGTCCCACTATTAGACAAGATCGGAACTTCATGAAGGCCCACATATGAAGCACCAACAAAATCCACGATGGCATCAGCACACAATGGTCTGCTTGCCGATGCTACTCTCGCATTATCATGACTCAGACTCAACGAATCAGACAAACCGACCTCATGAGGTTCTATCTCGAAACCAAAACTCTCGATATTTTCAACTTCAAAAACTGGGACATCAGCCTCCCCATCATGAGTAGTTCGCCACTCCCCATCACCCACCAAAGAACCATCTATGAAAGCTCGAACCTCCTCCTGAACTTCAATCTGAATTTTAATGTTATAAACACAACCATTAAAGATAATGAAAGTTTTCTCTGGAATGGCTGATTCGAATGTACTTCCAGCAGAATTCTTGCAACGTCAAACCTGTCCCGATTGATGGTTTCCTCATCGATCGAAATAACTCTACCCCATAGACTACCAATATCCTTAAAGAACTTGACACTCCAAACTGAAAGAGGAACACCCTTCAGGATAACCCAAACTTTGATTTTGACTCTTTTCTAATAGCCTTCCAATAATTATAGTTCATCAAACCAAAGCCGAATCCAATCTTCTCTTTTTACCCAACATTCTTGCCGATCACTTTTATTCCTGAATTGAATAATCACCAGCAGGTCATGCCATAAGCTAACCTTTACATCAACACCTTCAGCTCTAAAGATTGTTTGAATGATATCTTCATTATATCTATTTTTTATTTTTCCAACCAGGATGCACTCTCTCCACGATACCTCATGCTTAGGAATGACAATATTCCTACTTACTACATCAGTTAAAGAGGAAAAGCTAAGATCTCTATTTTCTACAATATTGATATGAACCATACATTCTGATCCATAAATTTTAAAAGAATGTTAACATTCTTCATTCTCTTGAGGCTTACCAACATCTCCCCGCACACCTCGAAGAGCTTCCTTGAATGATATGGAATCCCTTAAAGAAGGCTTCCAAACCTTTATGAAACTTCTGCCTACCCTCTTAATATTTCCTGCTAACGCTTTATCATGGTAAACTCTAATCTTAAAACCATCCATCAACCTGCCGTCAGCACTTAAAACAGCTTTGTTTGCTTCAGCCATACTTCTGTACCTGACAAAGGTGAATGTCGATCCACTTGCTTGTCTTTTGCTACTTCTGTACGCAATGAAAAAATCTAACACGTCGCCATAAACCTGAAATGCTTCCTTGAGAGTTGAAGTGTGGATCCTTTTGCTAACGTTATTGACAAAAACATAAAAACACTCGGGAACCTGAATAGATCTCTTCGCTTTACCAAACCTCCCTGAAGCTCTATGTCTGAACACCATCTTTTTTCCAGTATTCCCTCTGAAGAATTAGGATTTCTGTCTGCGAGTCTAAACTATACTTCCTAAATCTTATCTCAATTCTGTTGATTCACATGCAATGCAAACATCCACTGAACATAACTCACATTTCATTATCTACCCCCCAATTAAAAGACTGATTAACTAAGGCTTTTTCACAAGCATCTTGCATGCAGAAATGGATATCACAGATTGACTCCAAAAATAGACTACCTCAACTAAGTTACCAACAGAGGAGAAGTGTAACACTCAAATATGAAGCTAAGTTAAAAAATAAACCAAAAACCCAACACGAGACAACAATCTAGCAATAACAGAAAGAAATAGCGCAGCTAATAGAAGAAGAAACGATCTCACCAAGGAAAAAGAGAAACCCTAATTGATCGAGCAGCAAAATTGGGGACGAGCGCCAATGAACCCTAATCCTCCAACGAAAGCTGAATCAAATATTTGAGAGGTATGATTGTATGTCGTATTGGGTCATTACTCATTTTGTTTATTATTTGGAATTGATCACTTTATTATTTTGGGTTGTGTATGATTTTGAAGCTAAGAAAGATTATTATGCTATTATATCCGAAGCTAATCAGATTAAATATTTTTTACTTTACATTCAACTAGACTTGAAGTCAATTACAAAATACAACTCAAATTGAAAATTAAAAATGACTTTATAGAATAGAAATATTAATATTAGTCTGATTTTAATCCTCCCTATACATATCCAAAGTTAGAGCCTTCGAGGGAGAGAGATGCATATGATATCCTTAATAATCTTTGATACAAAACTGGAGTAGTTGGGCAAAATTATGACAAATGGGTCTTAAAATCATAATCCCAAAATCAATTGGGGGCCTCTCCCTCCTCTTCGAAAGGTACACTAAAAACCCTAACTTTTTAAAGTTGAGATCTTTATTTTTCAAAGACATGTATATCTAGAGATTGCAATTTAACCCAAAATTAATGAGTTTCGATTTGACCTAATTTGATAGATCAAATTTTATAAAAAGAATCTTGGGTTTGGGTCGAATCGGGTTAAGTTGGATATTTTAAGGGTTGGGTCGGGTCAAGTTTAAATGGAGGGTGAAATTTTTTTTAATATGATCTGAATAGAGGATAATAATGTAATTTCTTTAAAAAAATTATTTTATTTTATATCGGGTTAGATAATGTGAGACTTATATTCTAAAATTTGAGTTGGACCAAAGGCAGGTGAAGAATATATAATTTTGAGTCAGGTCCAATTGAATAAAAGATATATAATTTTTAAATCATATCAAATTTGAATGAAAATACATATTTTTTGATCAAGTTAAATTGACAAAAAAAAAACTCGATCCTGACCCGCTTGTTGGCATCCCTTTGCATATTGCATGATTTGCTGTTCTTGCAACCATAAGACATCTTTCGCAGGGTTTTGGTTATTTTCTTTGTAATTTGTATCACATGGTCTTATCATTCATTTATTTGGAAATAAAAGAATAGATTATAAAATGTGAATTTTTAGGACAAATTATAAATTTCCTCTTCGCTCTTATTTTAATTAAAATTTGATTTTTGAAATTTACTTATTCGATTTTCAGTTTATTCTTATTTTGGTCGTTATGTAATTAAATACTTAACGATGTTATGATTAGATATTTTTCTTTTAAAATTTATGAAATGAACCTAAAACATTTTTCATTTTTTTTTGAAAAAACTCATAAATTTTAATTCTCTTTGATTTCTCGATAACGAAGAATTTCCTTCTTAAATTTAATAGCGGAGATGTGGAGAAGGAGAAAGTAAGTTGTATACTTTGATTTCACGTTGATTTAGTGATAAGTAATGTTTTATGAGTTTTAGATTTTGGGTTGAGTTTTTATGAGTTTTATATTGATTTAGATAAAATCTAAAGTAATAAAGTGATACGAGACAATAAGATAAATTAGTTGATATCTTAAGTGGTCAAAGAAAACATTAGAAAATGGTAATTGTAGTGTTAGCGTGGAATATGATGAAAGTGTAAAACTTTCATCTTTAGAAGAAGATATAATTAAAGAGAAAAGTAAAAAGGGGAAATAATATGGATGGAATATGGATTCCACGTCAATAAAAAGTAGTCCACATTAGCACATGTGACTACTATATTAACCTTCCATTTATGATTTAACACTTGAGTGATCAAAATGGAGCAAAATAAAAGTTTAATTAGAATTAAAAAACTAAACTTTATCAATCAAAATAGGATTTAGAAGAGATTTGAGTGATTAAGTTTATAATTTACCCTATAAGTTAACATTTTTTAATCAATAAAATTAATAATATTTTAAAAAAATTGTCACTGACATGGACAATCAAATTAAACTAATCCTTGAGTTCATGCTTATCTACTTATTCACCAAAACCAAAAATCGTGGGCTCCGTTTTCAAAAATATTATCCAATTCACAAAACGACTTTTCAACCTACGGTCACCTAAGGCTTAGGATTAATATATTTTTATTTTTAAATATTAATTAAAATAATTATTATATAATCATGGAGAAATATTTTCAATGTAATGAAATATTAAGTGTACCAAATATTTTTTAAATTTAATTAAAATTAAAATTTATATTTGAAAATTGTTTGATTTTATTTTTTGTAAGTATTGATTTTTATCAAATCGAAATATTTTTCCTTTTCTTTTAATTTGTAATAAATATTCTTTAATTTCCATTCCGACGTCGTTTTCTAATATCCTCTTCTTTGCTTGTGTTTGTCGGATTTTTTATCCCTTAATGGAGAAGACAATGTTTTTTTTGGTAAATTATACGTTTAACACTTAAACTATCAGTTTTAATTTGTTTTAACACTTAAACTTTTAATTTTCATACTTAACATTTAATTTTCATTTTATTTTGTTAAAAACTTAAGGACACTGTATTTTTATGGGTAAATTATATCATTTATCACTCAACTATCTTCTCACTCCTATTTTGGCTAAAGTTTAAAAAAAATTCAATTTAACTACTCAACTTTCAAATTGCTCATATTTTAATCACTCTAATTTATTTTATTAATAATTTTTATGATATGTCATTTTTATTATTATTTTATTAATATATATAAACAAATGATATCTTATATTTACTCTAGATTTATTAAAACAATACATTAAATTTTAAACACCGGCATATATTGGTACTAAGTTCTAAAAGGGTTAATTAAAATTTTAGAAATACTAAAGGGGGTTTGATGAGATTTTCAAAAATTTGAAGGTATAGTAAATTTTTGGATAAACTATGCATTTAGTATCTAAACTATCAGTGTTGATCTATTTAGTAACTAAACTTTCATTTTTTTCAAAACCATACATAACGTTTAGTTTTTGTTTCATTTTAGTACCCTGTCGATAAAAGCTTGACGCGTTTAGTACGTAAACTACAAGTTTTGATCCATTTTAGTACTTAAACTTTCAATTTTTTTAAAACCATACATAATGGTTAATTTTTGTTTCATTTTAGTACCACACAGTTAAAAACTTAACACGTTTAGTACATAAAGTACCGATTTTGATCCGTTTTAGTACCTAAACTTTCATTTTTTTTCAAAAATTTAACGTTAAATTTTGAACTGTGTACTAAAATGAAATGTTATTTTATATTAAAAAATCAAAACGAAATGTTCAATTTGATTTTTTTTATTGATTAACAATTTTCATCCCTATAGGTTTTCCCCTCCAAATAAAACATTAGGACCAAAAAGTTCTAAAAAAACTAAGAACCACATTAACTATTTAATTAAACGTTTAACTCATTTATTCAACTAATTAGCTGATCCTTATTCCCATATATATAATGGGGTAAGGGGGAGGTAGGATAGTAGGATGCCCCGAATGCCAGGTTGAGAGCAGCTTCCGTAGGAGACCTCCGAATTATTAAATGCCCTCTGTGGGACTCGATCCCACGACCCTAAGGTTAAGAGCCTTGTGCTCTACCAACTGAGCTGGATGGTCATTTCATACATATAAATCTTCTTAGTTTCATCTTTCATCTCTATTTGTCTTTCATTAATTGTCTAATGTGTCTCAATACAATTTTGTTGTATGTTTCTTACAGTTATTCTCCACTTTCAAGATTTTTAGTATATTTATCAAAAATCGATTCATATTCGTGATCGATCAACTTCACATATATATATATATATATATGATTTAATCTTTTTCATAGTATGAAATATATATTTTTTTTGTATTATTATTGATATTCGATCTATCAATCAGTTAATTTTAATTAAATATTATAAAAATGAGAAAAATTCTCCGCTCAAATTATTTTATTCACAAATGTAATTCGAACAGATTTTTTTATTTAAATACCATCTTTGAAATCGATTTTTTTTTATTTAACCGACTTTTGTTGCGGAGCTATATCGGAATCAACCAATAGTTTCAGTTATTCTTTCCAAAGAAGTAATATCTTTCAATTCAATCCAAAGAAAATCAATTAAAACTCTTTGATTTGTTACTTCCCTTTCTCTCTCTTTCTCTGCAGTAATTATTTCACCCTCTGTCTCTCTATGTTTCAGCTTCTGTCTCAAACCCATAATTCCTCGTTTTCCCTCTCAGATTCCCAGAAAATTCTCCTGGGATTTTCTTAGATTTCCTAAAGAACTCCTTTTCCATCAATATTAAGATATTTCCTCTGTTTACCACTCGCTCCTCATGTAAGTATACTTTTGAGCTCTTCAACAAAGCATCAACCCTTTCTCCCTTTCTTTCGAATCTTGTGTTTTTTTCATATTTATGTATCGAATCAGCATCTGGGTTTTTTTGTTATTTATGAGTGCTTTAGTTGTTTTACCTTTATTTGATCTTAGCAAAGTTAGCGACTCTTAGTTTGTTGCCATACCTTCCCAGTGTAAATTCTATGTTTTGTTTTTCTATATATATATTTTAAAAGAGTTGGCATTCAATCTAGAATCAAATTCTTGTATGTTTCTCCTTATTCTCTTCTTTCAGCATTGATTTTTTTTTACTTCCTATTCAAGATTCAGTTTTAAGACTTTTCTGATTGTTGTTTTTAGCTATGTGTTTTAGTTGTGAAGGGACGGAGCATGATTTGGGACGAACTTTAACCTAGAACAGAACCTATAAAAAAAAAAATTGGGGGGGGCAAAAAATATTTAGAAAAATCTAAAATATATGGTAATTTTACATTTGAGGGACCTCCCCAACCCGCCCTCCTGTCCATCCTTGCTTGGGAGATCAAATTAGCCATACACTTGAATTTAAGAGCTGTTAATCAATCTTAACATGATTCATTCAGTTGCAGAAAAGATGGGTATATATCTCAGCTCCCCTAAAACCGAAAAACTATGGGAAGACGGCGAGAATGATAGGGTTCGATACGGTTTATCATCGATGCAAGGATGGCGTGCAACTATGGAAGATGCTGTGAGTAACAAATTAAAATTTAACATGGTTCAGTTTGTAATATGGTTCATTCTGCCGTCTGTCTTCCTTATGTGTATTGTACCTTACATTATCTTATGTTTCTTGCAAACTACCGAATTCTATTTATACGATGGATATGTTGGTTACTTTTGTTATTTGTTTTCTTAGCATGCTGCATATCCTGATCTAGATGCTTCTACTTCGTTCTTTGGTGTTTATGATGGTCATGGAGGTAAGATTTGGATGGTTCAGGTACTTCTTATGATCGTTTTTAGTTACATTCACGGGTTACCATTTCCTGTACACCATATTAACTTGAGGTTTTTGTTTCTTACCAGTCATATGCTTTTTCTCTTTTAGAACTTGAACCGATTGAACGATCTTACACCTTTTATCTTTAAAGATGATTGTTAATGCTTAGCTACCTTTAACTTTTTGTGTTTAACGCTTCTCAAAATTGCTTTCATATATCAGTCCGAGAATAACATCATGCTTTTCTCTTAGTAGTGGCCTTCAACTTATCCGAATTCATTACTTGCAGGTAAGGTGGTTGCAAAGTTCTGTGCTAAATATCTTCACCAGCAGGTTCTCAAGCATGAAGCTTATGCAGCTGGGGACATCGGAACATCTGTTCAGAGAGCATTTTTCAGGTTATTTAATTTGATTATGTTTGTTCTTCACTATGTTTTCAGCGATAATGTTCCCTGTTCAATTCATTCATGCCAGACTTCCCTTTTCGTTCCACCTTTTAGGGCTATGAACATCTCATTATGATTTCATAGGGTTTACTTCCCCCTAGCGATATCATACGTATGCTTGCTCCATACATAGTGAAATAGCATCTCTATGTCATTATTTTGGTTTTAAGCTTGGAAAGTTAAAGTGACACGACCGCTGTGACTGTTTTAAGACTGATGTTGCTTTTCTAACATAATTTTAATAATGATTGTGCTTCCATTCTTTTTTTTTTTTGGTGGGTTGTATGCCTTACCGTCGTTCCTTTCATACGTTTCTAACTTGAAGTTACGTTTAGTGCAGAATGGATGAGATGATGCGTGGACAAAGAGGATGGAGAGAATTAGCCATTTTGGGCGATAAAATAAACAAGTTTACTGGCATGATAGAAGGATTGATATGGTCTCCAAGAGGAGGTGATAGTAATGGCCAAGTTGATAATTGGGCCTTCGAGGAGGTACTTACAAAAACAAGAAGAGTATAGCTGGATTATCTTCCTTAATTAAGATGGAAACCAAGATCAAAGAAGAAAAATCGAACTTACATTGCTCGATAATATGATTCATCCTTCATTTTCCTGCATCAATCTGTTTGTATATTGAAAGCATTGTTTTTGTAATTGTAATCAGGGCCCTCATTCTGACTTTTCTGGACCGACTTCCGGGAGCACAGCCTGTGTTGCAGTTGTTAGAAACGACCAACTTATTGTTGCAAATGCCGGTGATTCTCGTTGTGTGATATCTAGAAAGGGTCAGGTAATATTCTATTCATGAGTGCAATTTCGTTCCAACTGGGTTCTAAAATTGAGATTATTTTTGTTAATCATATCAATTGACCTTAAGTATCATTGGAGGGGAACGCTCTTATATGGTTTACTTTTTTCTTAGGCATACAATCTCTCTAGAGATCACAAACCTTATCTCGAAGCCGAGAAAGAACGGATTTTAAAAGCTGGTGGGTTTATACAAGCAGGACGTGTCAATGGAAGTTTGAATCTTGCAAGGGCAATAGGTAATAATTAGTTTACCTCTCGGCTTGATACCTAGAAAAATAAACAAAGAAAGTGGATTAACATTTATACACATCTATAGCTTCCTATGCAAATGAAGACTTCCATACACGTCTAATATTCTTTTTGCTGCAGGTGACATGGAATTCAAGCAGAATAAATTTTTATCTGCTGAAAAGCAAATCGTAACCGCAAATCCCGACATAAACACCGTAAGTACATTCTCCATTGGCATTGGAGCCAGGCCACTATTAATTTTTTTTTCTACTTTTTCTTTGCATGTGCTTATCAATTGAAAATATTTCTTTCGAAATTTTCTATTAGGTTGAGCTCTGTGATGATGACGACTTCATTGTTCTGGCATGTGATGGAATCTGGTATATATATATATCATTTAGTTGGTTATACTTGTACTCTTCATGGTTCACCATGTAACGCCTTTTGAATGGATTTTATATTTCAGGGACTGCATGTCAAGTCAGATGATAGTCGATTTTATTCATGAACATCTGAAATCGGTCTGTACATAAGCATCTCTAACTTTGGTCGATCTGTAATTTTTGGTTTCTCGGTTTATGCCTTTCGTTTCTTTATGTTTGTCTGCTTAGTACAAACTGTGGAATGCAATGCAGGAAAGCAAGCTTTCTGTTGTTTGTGAGAGAGTACTAGATAAGTGCTTAGCACCATCGACAGCCACCGGTGAAGGTTGTGACAATATGACGATGATCTTGGTGCAGTTGAAGAAACCAATCAAGTCCGCCTCCTCCGCAAAGGAACAATCCTCCAATTCTGAATCCATTGAAACTGAATTGAAGGTAGAGTAAAGTCCAGAAAGCTAGTAGTTGCAATTGTTGGTGTGGACCCTTCGGGTGCATTTGGTTCATGAAATATAAGATTACCAGTGGGAATAGGATTACCGGAATGTAATATTACCTAACACATTACTGGGAGTGTTACATTACTGTGTTTGGTTTGTTTGGCAGTAATGTAAGATTACAGTGTTGGACAGTAATGTAAGATTACAGTGTTTGGTTGAAAGAATAAAAGATTACTGGAATGTATATTTTACCAAATTGACATTGTTCTATATTTTTTAACAAGTGAAATTTTAAATATTTAAATAAAAATTATTTATAAAAAAATTATCGATAATATATTATTTTATTATTTAAATATATTATGTATTATTTTAATTTTAATTAATATTAAATTTTACATAATTTATTTAAAAATATATTAAAATTTTACTTTAACATTTAACTAAATGTTCAATATTAGAGATTTTTAACTTTCACTATGATATTGAATCGACAATGACGATGATTCCGTTGGGTAATGTTTTCCACACAAAGTAGCTATGACCATTAAAAATAAGTTTTCCATTCTTGTTGTCGAGCATTTATTAGATGAATTATTAGGGGTTAAATATTTTTCAAAAATCGATTTAAAGTCTAACTATTATCGGATCCGAATCAAGGAAGATGATATACAAAAAAACTGCTTTTAGAACTCACCACACCCATTTTGAATTCAAAGTCATGCTAATTGGTCTTACGAATGCCCAACCACTTTTCAATCTCTAATGAATGAGCCTTTTGGACCATATTTCAGGAGGATTGTTTTGGTTTTCTTTGATGATATATTAATTTACTCTGACTGTTGGGACATTTACAACACTTAGAAATAGTATTACAATTACTACAAACTAACTGATTATTTGTCAAAAAGAGAATATTTTTTTGAACACGAAACGGTTGAATGTATGGGACACATTATTTTTTTCCAAGGAGTTGCAACAGATCTTAGAAAACACTGTCCGAATACCAGCCAAACACTATCCGATTCCCAACCAAACACTGTCCGAATCCATCCTTTTTATCTTGATGCTATTTTGTTGAGTTAATCGATCGATGGAATCGGCCAAGAGGGATGTGAATTGGCAATTAAAAATTTGGTGGAAGCTTCTGCATAAAATTGAAAGTAATTTGCACAGCGATTTAGAGTGGTTCGACTTTCTCAACCAAAGTCTATGTCCACTACCTTAGCTATCAACACTAAGAATTTCCCAACAAATTCACTAAATTGTTCTTTCTTTTGAGGACAAAGAGATAATCTTACAACTCCCTCAAGAATATACCCAAATTCTTGAGAACACTCTTTCTCAAAGAGAAGATTACAAATTCGCAAACTTAATGAAAAACCTCACAAGGCAAATGTGTTTGCACAATTCTAGAACAAAGAAAGAACACTCAAGAATAATACAATTGAGCACAATACGTGTTCTTGAAAGGAAAAATGAATATAAAATGAAATAGGCTTGAAAATGCTCGAACTTGAGGTTTGATGCTTTCTCTTTGATTCTCTCTTGATTCTTGTTGATTGTTGTTTCTTGTTCTTGATCAATGGCTTCTAAGCTTGTTTAAATACTCCTTCAATTGATTCTGAACGTTGGGGATGATTAGTGGAGTCAATAGAGCCGTTTAAGTGTGAAAACAATTAATAAAACAGGTGAGAGCATATGGTGCATCAATGCATAAGTCTAGTGCATCGGTACACTATGTGTAAAATCAAATATTTTGACCGTTGGACCCTTAGTGCATCGGTACACTGATAGTGCATCGATGCATAAATATGCTTCGATGTTTTGAAAAATCCTGGGTGCATCGGTGCATAAAATTAATATATATGGAGTGCATCGGTACACAAAAGCCATTCGATGTTCAATTAAAACAAGGGTGCATCGATGCATTAATTCATGCATCGGTACACTTACCTAAAAAATTGATTTTAGGCTCGTTTTTTGTTCGAAATATTTTGTAAAAATTGTTTAAAAAATATTTTAAGTATAAAACATAATTTTACACATTAGTAAGGATTGAAATTTAACTTTGAAAGACTTGGAGTAATATTTTGATATTCGAATAATTATATCGAATATACTTAGAAAATCTTTTGTAAAATCTTAAAATTTATTTACATTATTTTGTTATATCGAAACATCAAAATATTTTCAACATATTTTAACTAGTCATGGTTCTACTAGAGAAAGTATCAACTCCGCTTCCCTTCTATTTTTCATGTATCAAGCTGAAACACTGTCTGAATCTAGCAATTTAGGCAGCTGAATTTTACGATTACAACCGTTAGCCAAAAGGAATATGAATATTTTATTCATGGTCCAAAAAAACTCGGGAATCAGATTTAAAACACATCAATGGAATTGAATCAATAGCACCCACAAGAGCAGATGCTAGCCACAAAGCAAACAAGGTACCACTTCCATATAATATGATTGAATATGCATCTTCATTGTCAAGCTGCAGGTGTTTAGTATTCCAATCATCAGAATTGATTCAGAAACCATTACAAATGGAAAGTACTTGTAAGAAAAGAAGAAAACTATAAAAAAGCTCTCAAAGTATTGTAACATCCCAAAATACGGGTTAGTGACCAAAATTATAAAATTTCAGAATATGGTGATTAAAGTAGAATAGTTTAATAGTTTAATGATTTATGTGGAGATATTTCCTGAAAGTTGTTAGTAATTATTAAAATAATTAAAGGGCAAAATGGTCATTTGACTTGGAAATTATAATTAAATGATATATAGGCATGTGAGATAAGGATGAGGAGATATTTTCTCCACTTCATCTCCTTTGTTCTTCCATACGAGAGAGAGAGACATCAAAGGTGAGTTTGCTATTTTGTTAATTATTTGTTGTTTTAAAAGTTGGGTTATGATCACTAGATGATAACTAAGCTTAAGGAAAGCTTAAGTTGTCTTATAGTCAAAAGATGAAGAAGTTATAAGAGATTTAAGAAAATGAGTTTTTATATGAAATCATGGAATAGAGTTGATAAGTTGAATTTTAAGCTGAATTTGACTTGTCATCTATGAGAATAAGAATATAGAAGTGTTAGAATTGTATTTAGAACATATTGAAATTTGAGTATGATTCTTGAATTACATATGAAGGATAGGATTTTGAAGTTATAGATGATTTTCATGGATATAAGTTGGTTTAAGTAATGGTAGTTGAGTTTAATGACATGGTAGGGGTTTAAAATAGAAGAATTGAATGAAAAATTGATGATTTTCGAGCTTAAAATACAATTTCTGGGTAGAGGGAACCGATACCCTATGAATGGGAATCGATTCCCCCTCTTGAACGAAAAATTCCAGTATGTTCAGGGGGTATCGATTCCCCTGGGGGGTATCGATTCCCCCCTAAATGAAAAAAATAGAATTTGATTCATTAAACCGGTTTAAGTTATTAACATCAAGTTTAAAGTTTAGGCTTCTGATAGTTGTTTTGAAATGATATATTTATGTAGATATTGAGCCTAAACAAGTTCTGGAATAATCAAATGATTATAATCGAATCAAAGCAAGGCTAAGGTGAGTGCAATTTTAATTGTACTTATGTTATTGATCGAACATTGGCTTGCGATGAGCCAGTATTGGAGTTATTATGGTAAGAAGTGACTCCTAAAATGTTATTTGATTTATGATTCTGATATGTGCATGGATACCTGAAATGGATATAGGTTATTATATATGTTACATGATTATATGCATGTGTGATATATATACTATGAGACATGCCCAATGTGAAATGAAATAAGCTAAGTGACTATATGGAATATGTGATTATAAGATCAATGATTACACGTACATGTGGTACGTGATAGAAAGGAAATGATATGAATAAGTGATGTGAACTGTTATAAATTACAATGCCCATGTTATGTGATATGAGAGCTAGGGTATAGTTGGCATGCCAAGGGTCGAGGGTTTACCTATGTTCTTCGGGACATATAGACTGTTTACCTATGTTCTTCGGGACATATGGACTGTTTACCTATGTTCTTCGGGACATATGGACTGATTACCTAGGTTCTTCGGAATCTATGGACTGGTCCTTCGGAACATTTATACGAGCTGTTGTGACAGTATAGTGGTGCTCAACCTCAATGTACTTACATACCTTAAGTTCTCAAAAGTATACATGGGCTAATACTTGGTCTTTACAAAGAGTAAATAAATAAATTGATTTGCTACTATGTATGTTTTGTTGTGAAGTAGTATATGTGTTATATGGTATGTAGAGAAATGTTCATTATATATATACTTATACGATAAAAAGGTATTAAAAGTACTTGTATTATCATATGTTATCATGTATACTGAATTATATGCGACACGATTGAATTCCTAGATTGAATGTTTATATTTATGAGAAATGCATTATTATTATGTTTTTGCTTCACTAAGTCTATGACTTAGCGTGTAAGTGATTTACATGTAGGTACTGAGAAGCAGAAGGATCAAAGTTAAGTTCAAAGTAACAACATATCTCTGCTCAAAGATCAGATCAGAAGTAAATTACACAGTATGTGTTATTATGTGATAAATAGGTTGGCATGTAATTAAAGTAGGTAAATTAAGTATTTATGCTCTGATCGAGTTTTGTAATATTTTAAACGTATTTATATAAGTATAAATGCAAAGAAATGAACGGTTAAATTTTTACGAGTGTTATGTACAATTTACGAAAATCACTGTAGCACTATAACAGGTTACTGTAGTACTGTTCATACTGTATTTCACTGTTCATAAACACGTTTTTATCTCAAAATTTTATACCAAACACATTGAATAATATATGATTGTATTTGCTTAATATAAATTCAAATGTTCAGTTATTTTACAAGAATAAAGGTTTTGAAAATGTCAATGTGACATCTCAGACTCGTATCCAGGTCGGGTACGGGTTGGGGTGTTACATTTAATGGTATCAGAGTTACGGTTTAGCCGATTCTAGGCTAAAAACGAAGTCGAAAGTGTTTTAAAAAGTGTACATGCCAACACAAAGTGAAAAATTTTCTGATATGATAGGGTAAGGAGTGTGCTGTCTTGTTAATAGAGTTAAATTGTTATGTTA